CCCCAAAACCCCAAAACCCCATGGTGAAATATTTAATTTGAACATTTATCAATTATTTTTTTATACTTAATATATACTTTTACATAATCAAAATATAATACACTTTGAAGCATTATTATCTATTTTAAGCAGCGTCTCTATCAACTCACCATTCTAATATTTCCCTATTTATATTTATCCTCCATCCTTTGGAATAGACATTTAAATACCATGAGCATAATCATTCATATATTATCCAAGTAATATATCTCCACTATTGTATGTGTATACTCCTACACCTTTACCATTCACCTATTATCCATAATATTAATCACCATCACTTAATCTTAACAATCTTAATCCTTCTTTCTTATTATTTACCCATTGCCCTTTATAAATCTTTCCATCTTTCCAATAATATTCTCCATATCCATTTGCCTTACCATCTTTCCACTCACCTAAGTAGTAATCTCCAGAATCATATATTTATCTTCCAAATCCATCTAATTAATTATTCTTCCACAATCCATCATAAACTGCTCCATTGCTGTGAATATATCTACCTCTTCCATCCCTTTGATTGGTTAAACTATCATATTCCCCTTGATACATATCACCATCTTCATATTAAACAAGTGGCATGAAGATTGATGGCTTTGCTTTGCTTCTTCTATTTCTAAATGCTTGTGCAATGGTTAATTACTAAGCTTGCAAAGTTTTTAGAGCACTTACTGGGCATCTATTCTCTTTGCAGGATTGAATTGAAGCATTTCGTTTAGAAGATCCTCGAATAGCTTCTGGTCTCCTTCAAGTTTGATAATTATAGTCTAATCTAGATGCTTTATGTCAGATATTATCTTATCTTAGTATTTATATTTCTTAGTACACAGGTAGTAGAGTATCATTCCCAGTGACCAGATGTCAACTTTGCTGCTCTAACTAAATTCATCACTAAGTCCTATCTCTGGAGCTTTAAAATACGATTTTCCATCTAATGAATTAGAATCTGACTGCAACTATGACTTGCCAAAATCGCAGATTTGAAACTTCTAGCCATTTTCAAAAACCAATATGTTTTCTGGATTTAAGTCTCTGTGTATGATATTTTAGTTATGGAGATGAATTGTTACTTTTATTACTTGGATCATTATGTCCGCAATCTTAGCATTCGTCATGTCTGTGTTGTCTCTATGCTTGCCAAGGTTTTACTCAGCGAGTTCTGTAACAATTACGAATTAATCGTCAAAAGTGAAGTAGGACTCATAGAACTTGGTAATGTTTGGATGAATGTGTTGATCTCTCGGATAATGCTCACCATTATATTACTGATGTTTTTTGGTTTTATAGCCAATAAACTTTCAAGATTTTAGAGTTTCATAGCGTAAAATTTGTTATCTTAGGTATTCT